GGGGAAGGTGTGCTGGAAGTGAAAAGCTCTGTAGGGTGGCATTTCATTTGCATCTGTGTCTCATTTCAGATAATGACCCAGAATTACTTGAGCTTGCAGAGTCAGAGAAGGAAGCCTGTCTAGCAGACGTTCAAGATCTCAAACAAAAGGTGAGGTGTGAAAGGCTCTCGTTAACATTCCAGTCAGCTTTATTAAATAAATTACCCTTGTTGATTGTCATACAGACCTGGTATGCCAAGGAATAAAATCAATAACACGTATACACTTACAGATTTTATGGCTGAATTTCACGTATGCATGTCACAATTTTATTCCAAAATTATAATTTTTTTTAAAGAAAATGAAGCCGTTTAAGGATCATAATTATTTTTATGTATGAATGTAGTATTATTTTATCATTAATATATTTATTATTTGTATTATTATTATTATTATTATTTATTTTATATTTTATTATTATTGATTATCAAGTAAATTAGCATGAAGTAAAATAATATATAAAACAAATATTTAATACTAATAATACAATTATTATTTTTATGATTTGATTATTAATTAATTAGTAACATATATGTAATATATAAAATTACATTAAATTCTGTTATTAATATATTAGTGTAATATATGATAAATTATCAAGTAGAATATCAAGTGAATGTACATGAACTAGAAATGAATATATAACATTTAATATTATATGTGTAATATTAATATTGTTGTATGTTATTATTGTGTGTGTGTATGTATGTATATATATATATATTCACAGACAGTTATTATTTATTTATTATAAAAATGAATATATTGTTACAAATTATCACCTACATGTATACACATTTCAAATACAATTAATTATAATTAATATCATTTAATAATAATAATTTAATTATCATAATGTTATTGATGTTATTTAATATATATATTAATATCATATCATATTAATATAATTATATGAATTTAATTATTTAAGGCAGTAGTAATGATTTAGTAAGCTATTAATAATATACTATAAATTAAAAATTAATGCATTACAAACAAAACCTTTCATCAAAGTTGTCCTAAAACCAAAATGCGTTCTTGTTTTAGGACAACTTTGAACTTTTTTGATCCACTTCAAATGTTGACTACTGTATATGAAATTAATATAATATTTAATATTAGCAATAATAATATTAATTTTGTTGTAATGTTAATGATATTATGAATGTAATATAAATATCTAAATTATGCTAACCGAATTATTAAATTAAGGCAGTACAATAAGTAGTAGCAATTTAGTAAATCAAACAAAGTAAAAATGTGCGATTAATCGCGATTAAATAAAAGTTTTTGTTTACATAATATATGTGTGTGTACTGTGTATATTGTACTATGTATATATAAAGACACGCACATACAGCATATATTTTGAATGTATATATTTGTTCATATAAATTATATAATATATAAATATATTTAATATATAAACGTAACATATTTTTCTTAAATATATACATGCATGTGTGTGTATTTATATATACATAATAAATATACAAGGTACACACATATTATGTAAACAAAAACTTTTATTTAATCGCGATTAATCGTTTGACCGCACTAAAAAATATTAAATGAAATGTTGTAAAAACAATATTATTATGTAGTAAGTTTAAACGCAATGAAAATAGCCACTCAAAGCTGTGTTCTGTTTTTCAGATTTGATCTCTTCTGGTCCCAGAGGAGGAGTCAGACATGAGTGACCTGGTCTTAGAGGTCACCGCTGGGGGGTCGGAGGTCAAGAAGCCATGCTCTTTACCGCAGAGATCTTCGAGATGTATCAGAACTTCGCTGCTTTCCATGGCTGGTGCTTCGACATCCTGGAGGTCACATCTAGTGAACTAGACTGACAAATTTGTCTATTCCTATCCTCTATAAATGCTTAATAATAATATCTGCTTGGGCGCAGTTGTGTCAGGGATTGCATTGGTTGTCTTCATGTGTCTTGACCCTTCATTTCCAGTGGCGTATGTGGTTTGTTTAGGGGGCATCAGACGTGCAGCAGCCAGTATCAGTGGTCCGCTCAGCTATAAAAAGTTCAAGTTTGAAGCTGGAGTCCATCGTGTCCAGAGGGTCCCGAAAACAGAAAGTAAAGGTCGCATACACACCAGCACCATGACGGTGGCCATACTTCCCCAGCCCACTGAGGTACACAAAACTACAGCTCTAACAGAGGTTCAGAAATGGATGATAGATTAGGTGTTTTTATTAAAAATAGCCAGTATTCAGGTATGTGTGGTTATACATCGTATCGCACTCTCTCTTTAACCGCACAGATCTCATTTACCATCAACCCCAAAGATCTGAGGATGGAGACGAAGAGAGCCAGTGGTGCAGGAGGACAGCATGTCAACACCACCGACTGCGCCGTGAGGATCGTCCATCTGCCCACAGGTCAGCAGGACATCAGAGTGACTAAGCACGTCCTGATTTTGCTGAGTTAGATGTGTTCCTAGGTCAACATATTTTGTTGACCCTGGAACAACATTTTAATCCAAAAAAATTAGTCTTGGACCATATCCCTAAACCTAAACCTAAACTTAACCATTAGTAATACCTAAAATCGGAGGAAATGATAGATGAATGTCACTAATGTACAAGCACCAAACACTGATTGTAAACCTAAACTTCACAAAAACTATAAACTGGTTCTTCAAATCTGATGTTGTTCCAGGGTCAACAAAGATGTTGATCCAGGAACATGTTCGTACCTGGTAAAATCAGGTTCTGCGAGTGACTTATTTAATGGAAATATTATAGTGTAAAAATCTCTTTAATATTTAATACTGTTGTGTTTTATCTATATATACTGTATATATCTTTACATTTAAATAAGTTAGCGTTTATTTGATCTAAAATACAGTAAGTAGAGTAATATTGTGAAATGTTATTACAATTTCAAATAACTGTTTTCTATTTGAATATATTTAAAATGTAATTTATTCCTGTGATGCAAAGCTGAATTTTCAGCATCATTACTCCAGTCTTCAGTGTCACATGATCCTTCAGAAATCATTCTAAAATGCTGATTTGCTGCTCAGTTATTGGCAATTATTATTGGTGCTCAATTATTAATAATGGTTCTTATTATTTTCGGTGTTGAAAACAGTTTTGCTGAAAATTCAGCTTTGCATCGCAGGAATAAATTGCATTTGAACATATATTCTTATAAAAAACAGTTATTTAAAATTCTAATAATATTTCACAATTATTGTATTTTTGATCAAATAAATACAGCCTTGGTGGACATAAGAGAATTATTAAAAAAAACATTTAAAAATCTTAATTATTCCAAACTGTTGACCAGTATTGTGTGTAGATAGATAGATAGATAGTCAGATAGATAGATAGATAGATAGACATTCTATTAATTAAAATCATTTTCTAGGCATTTCTCATGTCCTGCAGGTCACTGGGAGTGAGACGTCTCTATGTTTTGTTGTAATTTCAGGCACCGTGGCTGAATGTCAGCAGGAACGCTCTCAGATCAAGAACAAAGAGACAGCCATGACGTTACTGCGAGCCAAACTCTACAGCGCCCGGCTGGAGGAGGAGACCAGTAAGAGATACCAAGCTCGAAAACTACAGGTATGTTAATTAATTCATTTAGCATGAAATCAATATTGACCCTATTTACTTTCTGAAATAACTTTCCTGTGAATGATTCATCAGTGCGCATTATTTTTGAATAACATGCACTGATGAATCATTCACAGGAAAGTTAATAAAATAAAAATCTTTATAGTCTTTTAGCAAAATATAACCTTGCTCTTCCTCTGAAATAACTTCACGATCCAGTAAATTTCCGCCCTACATTTAGTTTCTTGAAATATCCTGTTTTACCTGGAAACGTGTTGGATTGGGTTGTGAACAACAATTCACATTGATTTTAACTTTATTAATGTACAGCACAAGACTGTGACTGTGTCTAATATCAGATATAATTGTTTTTGCTGATATTATTTGGTAAATATAAATGGCATTTTTCTTCTCTTGTAATAGATCGGCACCAAAGGCAGATCAGAGAAAATCAGGACTTATAACTTCTCTCAGGACCGGATCACCGATCACAGGATCGGAAAAACCATTCACGACCTGCATGGATTTTTACAAGGAGAGGAACTGCTAGAGGAGATGATTGTGTTTTTGCAACAGTTTTCTGAACAGGAATCGCTTATGGACATTCTTGAAGACGATGATCAGAATCAGTAGTTGTTTGCTGGCAATACAGACATGTGTAAAAGTTTGGCTTTGTGGGTGTGAGAGTGGATTGTAAGCACAGCCTTCTAGTCTGAGGAAAAGAGCGTAGTAGTATATCTCACTATCCCTCTGAAGAGTTTCACAAACACTCTTTGCTTTCTCTTGAACTTTTACACAGTGGTGTGAAATGCTTTTGGTGGGCTGTTCGTTTTGTTTTCTTGTTCAGCCAGTTTGACTTTTCCAACTGTTTGAGATTTTTTTATTGCTTTCTCTTGAACTTTTACACAGTGGTGTGAAATGCTTTTGGTGGGTTTTGTTTTCTTGTTCAGCCAGTTTGACTTTTCCAACTGTTTGAGATTTTTTTTAAATCATTTTGTAGCGTTTTAACTCCTAAAGAGCATTGTGCATAAAATGTTCATATTTAGAGCTGAATATAACATACATAAAGTAATTTTGCATTACTTTCTTAGACCTGGAAATCACATACAATCACAGGATTCCCTAATATTACCAGTATTTTAAATCCTCGATTAAACCAACGACACAACACTTTTAAAGTCCATCTTTATTGACTTTTTTTTTTTTAAAAAGGCGCTTTTTTTCCCGAAGCGCGCCTTTCATTGGGTGGCGCTCTTTGTGCATGATGACGTCTCGGTTGTATGTGCGTCATGACATCACTTGAGACGTCCGCCCAGCGCTTTCATTGGCTGCCGGTCGTTTAAAGGTATTCACCTGCGCTCTGATTGGCTAGAAGCTTTGGTCGCCAAATTTCAAATGCATTTGCAAGAGGCGCTATTTCCCCAAACTCACTAACCATTGTGTTGCCGCTTAAATGCTTGAGCTGCTACTGCAACAGCGACCAGGACACGTCTCTAAGGACATATGAGGAATACATAAAAGTGCTTTCATATTTTAGAGGTAAGAGAATACTGTTTTAATGTTGTGTTTTTTTAAATTCTGGAGATTTTAAAGAGGATTTAAAATCAAAAGATATTAGATGTCCGACCATGTTCGCGTTTACCTCTATGTGGTCGTCTCAGATTTGGGTTTAATATTGCATTTTTGTTAAATATAATATAAGTATTTATATTCTGGAAAGCATTCCAAGAAACTAAATGAGCAATTTATTGCAAGAACATAGATTTTAAGTTGTATTTTTACGCTAGCATGTGGTGTGTCACGTTAACCTTAGCCACGTCAGGAATGCACGTAACGTTACTTGGGCGCGCAAAATGAAAAACACTAATAAATCACATAAAAACAAATGCGTCACCTGAGTAACACTTAAACACATTGAATATTAGGGAATAACAAGTATGTATTTTGACATGTATTATGAGTGTGTTTTAATACGGAAGTTCTAATGCTTAAAACGAGAAGTCCGGCTAATGTTCTTTGGGTTGAGCCTAAAACAGTGGGTGGATCAACTTGGATTTTGTGCGTTATGTAATTCTTTATATTGATGTAAGTTATTAGACACGTAAAACATCAAGAGAGTCAGCAATTTGTTAATGCATTTCCAGTAAGTTATATCCTCATGTACTGTTAGTACATATTATAAATAGTAGTCTGGCCTATGTGGATTTATGTAAAATGTTTGTTTCTACTGATATATAACCTGGATCAACAATTTGTGTAAACATTAACATGTCATATTTCTCCTTTCCTCTAGTTTACTGTGTCTGGATCGGCCTCAATATGAAGTGTCCAAGCTACAGTGACGATTCAACAGTTTTATGCCACATGGAGAAAGCCGAAACAGACCTCGGTGAGGTGAAGGGCCACAGGGATTCTCCACGGAAATCAGCCCCGCGCTCCCCTGTGGCGCCCAACATCTCCACCCCTGTGGAGACCAGAAGCAAAGGCCCCCAAAATAAAGAAAACTACCAGAATAAGCGTCATTCTCTAGACGTGGCATCAGACGACGAGGTGATTATCAGCAGTAGCGGCCTAACCGAGGACAGCGGCTACCTTTCCCTCCAAAACAGCCGGGTGGATCATGGGGACGTGGATGGCGTGGACTCTCTGGAGAGGAGTGAAGAGAAATGTGTGTCCTCTCAATCCTTGGCCGTGGAGTGTCATTCTGCACCCTGTCTGCCCGTGTTGAAGTTTCAGGAGGAGGTGTGCAGAGAGCTGGCTAAAGGCTTTCAAAAGAGCAAAAGTTACGACTGGACCGTCGTCGATAAGGTTGCTGAGAACTACGGGCTGAATAATGTGATCGGTGGGAAGATGGGACGGCAGTTTGTGGACGTCCTTTGCGGCCTGTTGAGGAAAGACATGAGGCATGTCCTTGCCAGGATTTTGGGCCTGTTGGGAGATTGCGACTTAGTAAGGTAACATCCGGTTTAGTTTTGTTATTTCTTCTGTGATTTGATCTGAATCTCACTCTGATGTGAATCAGAATGACTGACTCTTTTTGGTCTTTTGCAGCTGTAGAAAAGTGAGCCGGACGTGGCGCAAAATCATTTGCGAAGATCAGGTGGCCCTTTGGCGCTGCAGAGAAGCAGAAAGAGCGTTAAGGGTAAGAGACTTTATAGAACGGCAAAACTGGAGCAATTCATCTGTGTGCAATTTTATTAAAACTTTAAAGGGTTAGTCCACCAAAAAAAAAGGAAATTCTGTCTTTTACTCACACTCATGTCATTCCAAACGCATATGACGTTCTTGTGCAGAACACAAAAGAAGAAATTTTGAAGAATGTTTAACCAGTTTCAGTTTTTTTTTTTTTTTTTTAATGCAATGGAACTTGAAAAATACCATCTTTTATATTCCACAGAAGAAAGTAAGTCATATGGGTTTGGAACAACATGAGGGTGAGTGAATTTTCAGAATTTGAATTTTTGGGTGGACTGTCGAGTTCACAGAATCATGGAAAATATGGAAATATTGAGGAATTTTGTGTAGACAGGGTTTCTGTGGGTCTTAAAGTCTTAATTTATTATCAGTTCACCTGTATACAAATGTAGGCCTTAAAGGGTTAGTTCACCCAAAAATGAAAATTCTGTCATTAATTACTCACCCTCGTGTTGTTCCAAACCCGTAAGACCTTCGTTCATCTTCGGAACACAAATGAAGATATTTTTGATGGAATCTGAGAGCTGTCTGACCCTGCATAGACAGCAAGGCAACTGAAATGTTCCCAAGTCCAGAAACGTAGCAAGGAGATCTGTAAAATAATCCATGTGACATCAGTGGTTCATCCGCAATTATACGAAGCTACGAGAATACTTTTTGTGCACAAATCTCCTATGCTGTTTTCGTTCAGATCAAATCACAACAACGTAGGAAACGGATCCGGCGTGACGCAGCTGACACAGAACGGCATACGTTATTTACGTCCACCGTATATTTTTCAAGATGGCACCAGGGTGATGCGGAGGAGACGAATTGTTGAATAAAGTCATTGTTTTTTTTTTCTTTTGCACGATTAATGACAGAATTTTCATTTTTGGGTGAACTATCCCTTTAATAGTCTAAATCTGACCCAAATGTCTTGGATTCCTAAAGTCATGAATTAAATGTTGCACACACTGCAAAAAAATCAATAACCTCAGTATTCTTGTCTTCGAAGTTCAAATCTCTAAACATCCTTAAATTATTTGGAGATGGAGAAATGAACATGGGTCTCGTTTTTTGAAAAATTAAAACCAGTTTCTGCTTGAAACCCGAACCATGTTTGCCAATGGGGTATGAAAACTTTTTTTTCATTCTTCATTGGCATACGTTTGTTCTTGATGTAGTCATAAACACAGTTTTTGAATGTTTCCTGAGAAATTAAGACTAAAGTGTTTTTTTTCCCCCTCCCAAATACACTAATTAATGATCTGTCCAAAATATTTTCAAACTTTGAAGTGTTGCTAATGCAACGCAGTGTGTGTGCTTTTTAAAAGAACATTGAATTGTGATCCCTTGGTCTTAAATTTATGTTCATAAACCCTGGTAGAAAAGTGTGCTTATTTGTAGTTCAGAAGGGAAAGAAACCTTAGAATTGTTGTTTGATATTTTGTAGTTCTAATAGCGTTCGTCTCTGTTGCTTTCAGGACTCTGGTCGCTCCGCGTGCTCATTATCACGAGACTTCACCTTGAGCAGGGTGGTGTTCTCCTGCATGCAGACCGTCGCCTCTACGCCCGTTCACAAGGCCGTTAAGAAGCCGCAGTGCCAGACGGGTGGAGCACGAAACACATCCAAGTCAAGTCGCTTCCAGCAGTTTCATGAGGTAAAGCAGAAATCTCCCAATAACACCAGATTGTGTCTGTATTTACTGATACACGCATGACTTTAGTAATAGTTGCATGTGGTCGGCAGCTGATTTTAATGGTGGTGTTCTCTTCTAGGTTGCCCAGTCGCTCAAACAGGATGAATCTCTACGATCATGTATCCTCTGCGGCTTTGCAGCACGGTACAACGCAGCCATGAAGAAGGCTGTGTGCTCACGCACCAGCTGTGCTTTTGAGTTTTGCACACTGTGTCAATCAGCGTTCCACAGCTCTGCGCCGTGCCGCAATACCATCCGGACCTTCTCCACTTCACAGAAAACGCTCCTCGCCGGCTCGGCTCGAAGCAAACGCAACATCCGTCGCCTCTGAGCACCAGACGGGAAATGTTACAAGAACTACTTTTAGGTTCTTAATTGTTTTGAAAGACTTTAAAAAAAAAAAAAAAAAAATGAATGTTTTATCTTCCTAAATGTGAAGTGAATTTGGCCACATTTGTGGCCGCTGCGTAGTGAAAAACTACAATCATTCTCTATGCCAAAAAAAAAGAGACTTAAGGAGGTTAAACAGCCTCTTCAGTATTGTAAATGTTTTATAAGATTTTATAAAAATTGTAAATGTTTTATTGACGAAATGATCAATTCTTGTCTGTCTTATCACAGAAATTGTACATATTTAAATGGTTGAATAAAGCCTTCGTATATTTTTAAACTTTGCTTCTTTATTGAATGCCAATATAATCGAGTTCCCTATTAAGTCGATTTTGTGTGACGGCGTCTATATTTCTTCAGAACTGTCACATGACTAAATTAGCATGCTAAACTTAGCAAATGGTCTCCAGCTAGTGTCTTAGCGTTATTGTGACTCATTTTGTCCAAGAGAAAATTGTGTAAGAAGTCTCATCACAATGATGTTAGACTTTTGGATTGTTAGGTTAAGCACGTTGCATTGCGGGATGCACATTTCACAATAATAAATACAATATTATTCAAAAGTTTGTTGTATTTATTAGATAAAAATACGGTAAAAACAGTAATATTGTGAAATATTTGTATAATTTAAAATGAGTGTGTTCTGTTTGAATCTATTTTAAAATGTAATTTGTTTCTATGATAAAGCATCATTACTCCAGTCTTCAGTGTCACACGATCCTTTAGAAATCATCCTAATATGCTGATTTTTTGCTCTAGAAATACTTTTTATTCTTATCAATGTTGAAAACCGTTGTGCTGATTAATATTTATGAGGAAACATTTTTTGATGAACCGAAAGTTCAAAAGAACATTAATTTATTTTGCGACAAATGTTTTTACTGTCACTTTTGATCAGTTTAATGCATCCTTACAGCCTTCATTTCTTACTGACCCCAAACTTTTGAACAGTAGTATTCATAGATGACCGCACCATGGCAGTTTAATAGCCATTGTGACATTATTTCTTCATAAGCTTTTTTCCCTCATTAACTCAAAGACGCCAGATATGATCTTGGGTTTGTCCTAATGAGTTTGTTTACAACTGGTCAGCTGGCACAGCTTATGTTAGTTGTGTGGTCTGAGGAAGACACAAAATGGACACCAGACACTTGTTCTCAAGCTGTTTTTTTTTGTGGCTAGATGGCACCAGAGAGCTTTTCTGTTGACACCCTATCGCTCCTGCGCTGTTTTATCTACAGTTTTCCATGTAAACTGAATGTGTTTTATTTTGTGTAAGATCAACTTTAAGCCAGTTATGTTTTTTTTTTTGTATACTTTGCAGTTTTAAGCAAATGAGTGTTTCTGAAATCACGTCAATCTACAGGTCAGCAGAGGAAGATCTCAAGAGAGGAGGTTTCCACACAACTACACTGAGGCTTTATTTACCAGTTATTCACTGTCTAATGTGATTCACAGACAGAAAACAGAGCTAAACACTGAACACAATTACCTCAAATACTTGCTGGAATCTGAATTAGCGTCTCCCCAGAGAAAAGATCTCATTTATTGCTGAACATATAAATAATGTGCCCACTTTTCTCATTTCCATTATGTCTGGTCTCATAACAATGTCTAAACTAATCTTTGACTTTCTTTTTCCTGATGATTCTGGTCATGATTTGAAATGCATTAATGCTGCTTCCTAACAGCTTGTAATTTCATCCATTTAACAAATTTAAAGCATAAAATCCATTAACTGTGATTGAATGCTGTGAAATGTGAATATTGTGCTGTGAGAGAATATGAACCAAATTGTTGGCAAGTAAAAACTATGTCAATGTTTGATTGAAAGATGATAAGTATGGATTAAACTGCATGCATGAAGCAAAAATACCAATTAACCTAGAATTAAAAGTATAATTGATTTTTGGATTTCCTTCCACATGATGGAAATGAAAACTTGGATGTGTAATAGATGTATAATGTTTGCTCTAATCCATGAAAATCATAAGCATGCCTTTGCAAAAAGTATAGTGGTGAGGATTATTAAAACTAATCATCTTTAAATAAAATTCTAGTTAAAATGTAGTAATTTTAATAATTTGAGTAATTTTAAATTTGAAATAAGAAATTTAATTTGAAATAAAAAATTAAAATAAACATTAACTGAAATTATATATATATCATTTTATTTTAATAATATAACTGTTATTTCTGTTAGATGCCAAGGAAACATTTCTCATTTTCATTTAGTTTAACTTAATCATTCTAAAATAACTAAAAACTAAAATAAAAACTACATAGAAAAATAAAAAATAAAAATAACAAAATTACTATAACTTTAAGTAAAATAAAAACAAAAACAGAAAATATAAAACAAAAAACTAATTCCAAATTATAATAGTATCTCAGTGACACTAAACTCACAGTGGTACAGTGATTGTGTCAAATGGTAATACTATAGTACTTTTAAACATGGTATACCATGGTGCTACTACAATATGGTACTTTTTTGTTAGTGTGCAAATTTAAAACTTCACATGAAATAGGGTTACATTTAAAATACACATTTTAAAAACTCACAGAAGCTGCAAAAGCAAAGCATTAAAGTTTTTGAACATTTAAAACAGGTTTGTTTTATTGATCCTTTCTGTGCATTCAACTAATTCATAACCATAAATAAAGGCACTTTTTCTATTAAAATATCCTTTCCTATCTTCTGCAGCTTTACTAATGCTTTTCTGATTTACTCTTGAAATCCACTATGGCGCCATTGCTAATATTTTCGGCTCCTTTATGATAAATGACTTGTTTTCCCTCATTTGTATGTCGCTGTGGATAAAAGCATCTGCTAAATGAATAAATGCAAATGTAAATCTTGACAAAGAACCGGACAAGACAGGTCCTGTTTGTCTTTTCATTCTAAAGCTGAAATATAAGTGTGTAGTTGATGATGCTGTCACTGTCCCAGAGACAAGCGGTCATTTCCCATCACTGCCCTCAGGAGCAAAGGCTGAATGTGGCTCAAAGGAAAATTTGTTCAAAATGTACTCATCCTCAGGCCATTCAAGATGTAGATGAATTTCTTCATCAGAACAGATTTGGTGAAATGTGAATGGGTGCCGTCAGAATGAGAGTTCAAACAGCTGATAAAAGCATCACAATAATCCACACCACTCCAGTCCATCAGCTAATTCGTTGTGAAGCGAAAAGCTGATTGTTTGTAAGACACCACTTTTGGACTTTTTCACTGGAGGAAGCGTTATTATGGATTATGGACTTGTATTTTGGTCAGAAGCCATGGTTTAAAGTTAAAAAGGTCTTGATAGATTTGTTTCTTACAAACATTTAGCTTTTCACTTCATTAGATGCTAATTGATGGGCTGGAGCAAGGATGTAGGTTTGATTTGGGGACATAAAGGCAGACAACAGACAAATTGTTTGATCCAAATTATTGACAATTTAGTAGTCACTGAATATTGTGACATGTCGTAGCGTCTACTAAATTCTAGGCCCTTGAAAATCATAACAAGCCGACTTTGGAAACTATAGTTCTCTCCTTAAATATGAAGAGGTCAAACAACAGATTAATGAGTCACAAAAAGCTTATGTAATTATAATAAGTCAGACACTGAAGTGAGTTGTTTTTGTCACTCTTCTGATGAAGATGTCATTCACTTGTTTTGTATCCACATAGAGACATTTTTTAATCTTTATCCAATCTCATTTTGTATGTTTCTTTCTGTTTTAAATGTTTTCTTTGGACTGTTTGGCTATTGGCTATTTCCATTTGATTTATTAAACCACGGTCTGTACAAATGAAGCTCCAAATCAGCCGAGGATACGGAGAGCAAAACAGGTGTTTACACTGAAACGCACACGCACGCACACACACACACACACAAAACATATCGTTCATTATGAGTCATTCTGCTTGGGAATACAAATCAAATTTTTCTGTTGGACGCTATCTGCTGTGATTAACCTTTCAGACTAGATGCAAACCGCTCTGAATGTGCGTGTGGGTGATATTTGAACATTATTTTAGTCACATCTGGGTTTAAATTTGAGTTAAGGGCATGTGGGTTCACTGGAAATATGTGAATTAGGTTATTGGCACTAAAGGAGTGTGTTATTATGAAATCTGTCTTATAAAACGGATAGTTCCGACTCACTAAATGCTGATAAATGCACACTTGTGATTGCACATTCTATATTCATGTTCTGTAACCATAAAAATTGTACTGTTAGGCTAATTTACCACACTCAGGAAAAAAATTAGGCCCTGAATTTAGGATTTATGCATTTGCATTAATGCCTTTAAATTTCCATTCATTTGGGTTACACAATTTTAACATAAACTTGATGTGATGCATTTTTGTCAGTCATACATAAATGAAACGGGTAAGATTTCTGTACTCAGAAAAAACATGGCATAGTTTATTATTAACTATTTGCATGTATTTAATTTTATTTAAATATTCATTTAAAAAAAATACATTTATTCAAATTGCTTAGAATCATCATAAATCTGTTTATTGTGGAAACAATTACATTTTTCAGTTAAAGGGGTCATATGATGCGATTTACATTTTTCCTTTCTCTTTGGAGTGTTACAAGCTCTTGGTGCATAAAGAAGATCTGTAAAGTTGCAAAGACTAAAGTCTCAAATCCAAAGAGATATTCTTTATAAAAGTTAAAGAGTTAGCCACGCCTACCTAAAACGGCTCGTTCTAACACGCCCCCACATGTCTACGTCACTGTGTGGGAAGATTTGCATAACACCGCCCAAATGTTCACGCAAAGAAAGAGGGCGTAACTTTGTAACGCTTCGTCATGCCTGGAGCTGATCCGTGCTGGTCGCTGAGGAAATACATCAACTTCGCGCTGTGGATCACCGGATCGGCTTTCACCGTGGACGAAGCGGAGTCCAGCCCGGGGTCGTCACATGTGGTTGCCACAAGCCCACCGGACGCTCCTTCGTTGAATCCGCCGGCCTGCGCCGTTCTCAAGCCCACCGGCCTTCTCTCACTCTAGGCCGCTGCCGCGTGTGACGCTGTGTGTTTCGTTGTGAAAGCGAAACTACTTTGTCTGG